AAGTAATTGAAAAGAACATAGCTTGAATCAGGCTCACCTTTGTCTCCATGCTGACATTGTTGTTCTCAAGTACTCGGAAGAGGCTCCTGACAGCAGATTTTCCCAATGCAATTTGTCTTTTGATTTCTTGACTGCTGGTGCCAAGAGTGTTGCTTGTGGATCCAAGCAAGCTGAAGTTGTTAACAATCTTAATCACTTCTCTGTCTATCATGACGCTGACAATTGGCCCAGTGGTGAGAATCTTTGTTTTCTTGATGTTGAACTTCAAATATTCAAGACTTCAGTCTTTGACCTTTTGGAGCAAATGCTTCAGGTTCTCCTCAGTTTCAGCAAACAACATTTTGTCATCTGCATAACACAGGTGGGTGATAAGTGTTCCTCCAATACCGATGCCACATTCCTCCTCCTCATAAAGTCCAACCTCCCAGTTGAAGTATTTTGCATGTAGGTTGAAAAGGTATGGGACACACTCTTTTCCTGATTTTTAACCATGAAGAGTTTCCTTAATCTGTTTTGACAACTGACTCCTAGTGTAAGTCTCACATAAGTACATGCAAAAGTTTGGAATCCTTATTCTTCTCCAGATTAGCCACATTTTTTATATTTTTTATTTTTTGTGTGTGTGATCCACACAGGCAAATACTTTTGCATAGTCAATGAAATACAGTTAGAAATTCCTTTGGCACTCTTTGATTTCAGCTAAGATCCATCTAACATTGGCTAAAGTGAATACTATAATTAACAGTTTGGAACAGAGTATGGATTAGTTGAGGGTGTAGGGTGGTGGAAAAAGGGACAAAATAATAAACAAAGTAGAATAGCAAATTAATAAACAAAGTAGAATAGCAATTTACAAATAAGGGTTGTTGGCATAGACATTACAGACAGTAAGTTAATTGCATCAATTAATGATGATCATTGTATTAAAAACAGTGTTATTTGCAAACTTTCACTCAATAAAATAGATCTTTTTAAATATATCATATCAATGGCTTGAATATGTTGGAGATTTTGAGATTGGCAGATAGTACAGAGATAGATTGTGAGATAGGACTGAGTTCAGATTTGTTGTTCATAGGGTCGCTATGAGCTGTA